TTATCATATACTTTGAGTATGCATTTTTATACTTACTACACCACCCCAAGAGGGCCCTTAGTCAGGATTCACTCAAATGAGTAAAAGTGCAGGCTCAGTAAAGATCTGGGATGCCCCTTCCTAGGAATAATCCACTAAACAGTTTTAATAACTCTCTCTTCCCAAATACTAGGGATTATTCTTCTGAGTTTTCATTGAAGGCCAAGGTAAGTCCTCTCCATGTATTTAAAATCAATTTCCTGCTATCTAACTTAAAGAATATTGAAAGGATTCAACAATAATTAACATACCAAAGAAACAAATCACTAATTTGTCTTGATTTAACAAAAGATAATCATTTAAGAAACATCTCCTCAGAGCAACCTGAGTACCAGATATAACAGGTAGAAACACTGTGGGAAAAAAAAGATGTGGTCAGTAGTTGGAGTCCAGGTGGATATACAGTATTGATCTTTCATATAAAAAGAATCAATGAATGAAGAGATTTTAGAAGAGTGCTTTTAGCTTCTATAGCAAAAAATTATTTTACACCCATAAGCACTTGGCATTCTATCATATAGACGCACAGAACCTCAGAGTAGAAAGAGATTTGTACTATAGCAATTATCAACAATTATATAATACAGATCAGGTAGCAGCCACATTTTCTGTATGGGGGTTTATAGAAAGGGTTGAGCTACCTGGATTAATATACTGTACTATATCCATATAATAGGGTACTATACAGTAATAAAAATGAACAGATTCCTGCATCATGCAAGGTGGATAAATCTATCAGGCTTAATGTTGGCTGAAGACTAGACACAAAGAATGCATATTCTACCCTTTCACATAATCAAGGTGTTGGACACTAGCATATTGGTTGAGTTTGGAGGTGGCAGAGACTAGGAAGAGTCACAAGGCGGCTACTAGGGCTACAGTGAAGTTCCATCTGAGTGCTGGTTGTATGGGGTAGATTCACTTGTAATAACTCATCAAGAAGTTCCAGTTATGATTGGTGCCCTTGCCTGAATGTATGTACACTTCAATTAAAAGGGAAAGAAAAAATTATGAGAAAAGAAAAAAAAAATGGAAACGAAATCTATGTAAATAGGGAAGGGTGGAGGGGGTCAAGGGCGCACAGGTAATGGGGAAAAAAATAAGAACCAAGATAAATCATGTACAGGTATAAGCACCCAATGATAAATGTAAACATAATGTATACCTACAATGTACCAATAAAAGAATTTTTTTAAAAAGTTAACTAAATAAAAAACACATATGCTTCCTACTAACATATATTTCATCTTTAAGTACATTTTTTATTAGTGCCCCTCTCGATGGATGAATCAAAAAAGGCAACCAGTGGGCAGTGACAATCCCACAAGTCTGTGCCTTGGCAAATGAGGTGGGCTGCACTTTGTCTCCACTGGTGTGCTTAGTGAGACAAAAAACCACAAATCTGGATGGACATCTGCAAATCTGCAAAAGCACTCATTTGACTCTCTCTTGGTGCAGCTTTATGAGAAGGGCAGGTCTGATGTCCTTATTTTACAGATGAAGAAGTGGCATGGAATAGTAAGACACATGCACTAAGGCATCCCAGCTAACAAGCCATGGAGCCAGGACTGACTTCTAGGCCAGTAGCTCTTTAGATGGTTCTGATTCCTCTCTGGGAAGGGGAATAGGAAAAAGCTTCTTTCCGTGTATACTGTTTTGAAGGTCACCTCAAAAGCTCTGTGGAATAAGGTCTGATACTCTTTTTTTTTTTTTTTTTTTGGTATGGGGGATTGAACTCAGGACCTTGTGCTTGCCAGGCAGGTGGCAGAACTACTGAGCTAAATCCCTGGCCCCAAGGTCTGATACTCTTAATACTAGACTGAACTAAAGGTCCCAGATTCTAAACACACTTGAAAAATATGCTGTAAGCATGTATGTACAAATAAACATTAATCTTTTGCCTATTTAGCTATGGAGAAAGCAGTAGAATAGGGATATGTAGATATTAATAATATACCCCTCCCATTCCTTAAACTTATTGACCTGAGGCTGCAAATCTTGTCATTCCTTAAAAAAAGAAAAATGCACAACATAGATATGTCCAATTTACCTAGAAGTGTCTGCTTATTCTGGGAGGAGTCGGGCTCTGCAGAACACCTGCACGATCGAAGAACAATCACTCCACCAAGCACACCATCTTCACTGGCAAGGAAAGGTGAACCTGGGCAGAAAAGACCAGGAGTCATTTTCAGCGGATTTTATTTTTCTAGTTTTCAATTTTCATTTGATCACTAGAACAAAAACATGGCATGAATAAGATCTTGAAAGATGCCCATTTTCTGAAAATCATCATTGTTCATACCTCATATAGACTGGATGGCAAAGGAAGGCTTGCACCTGAACAGCAGCCAATTGGCAAAGACAGTGGCAGATGCTGCCAAAATGACAAGTAGGGGATGGAGGGTGCATTAGTGCATTATTCAGAGAGGAATTGAAAACACCACCAGATTAAAGGACCAAAACACAAACACACAAAAAAAAATTCAATGGCTCCCTTTGATCAGCTCTTAGGGATCACTTACCAGCCTCTCCTTGCTGTCAGGAGCACACCACCAAAAGCTTTGATTTACTACCTTAAATTGAATTTTAAACAATAAGCCACAAACTTTATTACAAACATTTAAAAATGCTCCTGATGCTTCACACAAATAAGGGCGAAACTGTATTTCTATTATGAGAGTGTGGTGGTTAGAAATAGCCCAGTCTCCTCGTGATCTCATACACAGAACCATTGTGAGCATTTCAAGAACATTACATTTCAAAATCCGTTATTTTTCTTCCCCAAGGACATCTTCCTCAAACATATGGTATAGTAAGTAAGCACGTGGAGAACAAATGCAAAATTAACCCAAGAACTATCAAAGAGAGTAATAAAAATAAAATCCAACAAAATTGGATTTGGGGGGAGCTTCTGGTTAAACTTAGTAGATTAAATACATGCCTTTATCTCCACTCCCTCCCCACACCGCAGTGAATTAATGGGAAAGGAAGAAAAAAGGCATGACCTAAAAAGGGCAGAGAAAAAGACAGGCAAGAAAAAAAGATCTTAACCTAAGAAAGAAGGGAACAGTAAGGAAGAATAGAAAAGCACGTCAAAGAGATCAAGATATAGCTTGTGAAGACCATAAGATTTATTCTCTGGCCTTTTTTTTTTTTTGGTACCAGGGATCAAACTCTGGTCCTTGCACTTGCAAGGCAGGCGGTTGAACCACTGAGCAAAATTCCCTGGCCCTCTCTGGCCTTTTTAAAGAAAGAGTTTGTCAACCCCTCATGTAGGCTCAGATTCCTGATAGAAAGATACTTCCTCCTCAAGCCTGAAGAAGTCAAGGTACTCTCTAGAGAGGTTCAAAAAAGGGCCAGAAATATGCCCAGAGAGAATTAAGTCTTAGGGGTGTCAGGCTCAGCTCAGGGCAAGAAAGAAGCAACAGTGAAAACAAAAGGCTGAAGTGAAGGTCTTTTTGCTAAACAATGAAATAACCAGCTTCCAGGACATGAGAAATCAGGCTGTTACTCTCTGAGCAAGAGACTGGATAATTCCCTTCTAGCAATCCAACAAGCACAGGAGTACTTGCTCCTATTTGAGAGAAACTTGGAATATAACTTGTCCTTGGCTTACGCTGGGCTTGGGATTCAAGACCACAATATTGACTCATACACAGAAAGTGTTCAGTTCAATTTCATGGCGTCAAATGTTAAAAAGTACAGACAACTTAGGATCTCTAGTTGTTTCAATGATACCTCTGTCTTTGGAAAAATAAAGATAACACAGGAAAACCAAAAATAAGGCTAACAAGAAAAATAAGCAAATTGGCTGAGCAGAAGAAAAGACAAGAAATCAAATCAAATCAGACAGACATGGGATTGAAGCTATAGCTCAGTGGTAGAGTACTTGCCTAGCATGTGTGAGAACTAATGGGGGGTGGGTGGGCCTAAAGAAAACAAGTGAAAAAAATAAGAAAATTAGGGGGATAAAAAATGGTCAATTAACAGATTCAGTAAGGTCAACAATCAGAAACCAATAGCTTTCTTATACACAAATAACAGACTCACTGAGAAAGAAATTGGAGAAACAATTCTTTTCATAAAAGCATCCCAAAAAGTGAAATACCTAGGAATCAATCTCATGAAGAAAGTAAAAGGCCTCTACCTTGAAAACTACAGCAGTTTGAAAAAAGAGACTGCAGAGGATATCAAAAAATGGAAAGATTTCCCTTGCTCCTGGGTAGGAAGAACCAATATAGTGAAAATGGCCATACTTCCCAAACTGCTATACAGATTCAATACAATTCCAATGGAAATCCCAACAGTATATTTCACAGAACTACAGAAAGCAATCCAAAAATTCATTTGGAACTAGAAGAGACCTAGAATACCAAAAGCAATTCTAGGTAACAGAGACATAGCAGCGGGTATCACAATCCTCAACTTGAAACTATACTACAAAGCCACTTTGATAAAAATAGAATGGTACAAGCACAGAAACAGACCCAAGGATCAGTGGAATGGATTAGAAGATGCAGAAACAACTTTGGACATACTCAGCCACCTCATCTTTGACAAAGGAGCCAACCACCCTCACTGGAAGAAAGACAGCCTCTTTAATAAATGGTGGTGGAAAAACTGGATTTCGACCTGAAACAGATTAAAACTAGATCCATATCTTTCACTATGCACTAAACTAAAATTGAAGGATCAGAGATCTAAATATTAAAACAAAAACACTAAACTTGCTGGAAGACAAGTTAGGTAGAACTCTTGAAGACAACAGTATAGGAAAAGATTTTATGAACAAAACCTCAGTAGCATGGGAACTAGCACAGAGAATCAATAACTGGAATCTCATCCTATTAAAAAGCTTCTGCACTGCAAGAAAAACCACCACCAGAGCTAAGAGACAACCTACAATGTGGGAAAAAATATTTACTAGCTGTTCCTCAAAGGACTATTATCTAGAATATATAAAGAAATTTTAAAAATCAGATCTCCCAAATCTAAAGACCCAATTCAAAAATAGGCATCTGAAATGAACAGACATTTCTCAGACAAAGTAAAAGCAGCAAATAAACATATGAAAAACATGTTCAACATCACTGGTCATTCGAGAGATGCAGATGAGAACAATTCTGAGATTCCTTGTCACTCCAGAAAGGATGGAAATCAACCAATAACAAATGCTGGTGGGGTTGTGGGGAAAAAGGAACCCCTCTCCATTGTTGGTGAGAGTGCAGACTGGTGCAACCATTGTGGTGATCAATATGGAGATACCTCAAAAAACTAGGATTAGAGGTACTGTTTGACCCAGCTATTCCCTGGTGTGTATCTTCCCAAAAGAATTAAAAGAATCATACCACAGCGATATATATGCACCCATGTTTATAGTGGCACAGTTTGTAATAGGTAAAACTTGGAAAGAGCCCAACTGCCCATCAACTGGAGACTGGATAAAGAAGATGGGGTTTTTTAAAGAATAAAATGGAATACTACTCAGCCATAAAGAATGAGAAATTAGAGTCATTTATAGGTAAATGGATGCAAATTGAGGCCATACTCTTAAGTGAAATAAATAGGACACACATGTGTAAATACCAAATAGTTTCTCTAGTATGAGAAACTGAAAGTGTAAATAATTCAAATGTGTAATAGATAATGTGAAATAGGAAGAAAAAGTCTAAAGGGTAAGTGGGAGGAGTAGGGGAAAGGAAAGAAAGGAAAGAAACAATATGAGAAAGGAAAAAATGGAAACAGTCTTTGTAAATAGGGAGGGGTGGAGGGGTTGAAGGGAAGGCAGGGGAATGGGGAAAAAATAAGAACCAAGATATACTGTGCAAAGGTACAAATTCCCAATGATGAATGTCATCATATTGTATACCTAAAATGTACCAATAAACTTAATGAAAAAAATTTTTAAATAAAATGGTCAATTAAGACTGGCAGCAAAACACAACCTCTCTTAAACCTGAAACTGAGATACCTAGATAACAACAACTCAGTGAAGGGCCAGGGATTTAGCTCACTGGCACCACACCTGCCTAGCAAGTGCAAGGTCCTGAGTTCGATCCCCAGTAACCGCCCCCCTAAAAAAAAACCAACAAGTAGCAGTGAAGAAAAAATAAGTAAATCTGTAGGAATTAAGAAAGAGCCTACAGGAAAACTAGAAACTAGAGAAAGTGAACATGATGGAGGGAAAAGAATGGAATACTAACCCTGGCTCCCAGCTAACACAAGGTAAATCTGGATAGGGTCAGCAGCTACAGCAAGAAACAATGAATAGCACTTACCCCAAGAAAAGCCCACTGTTATTGTAAACTGCAAAAGCAGTGCGGGATTTTACTCTGAAAACATTCTCACATGACAAACTAGAGTTGCAGAAGAAATCTTGTGCAGCATCCATCAGTTACAGAGTTTAACCAGGAGCCATTTTAGGAAGGGGTTAATCATTTAAGACTGAGCTACAGAACAACTACACTTCAGGGTTTCTGGAGTCTTCCTGCCACAGTGACTGGGTGAAAAACAGCCACAGTAGACCTTTGAGGAGAGGTCACGGGCTAGACACAGACTCCCTGAGAAATTTAAGCTGAATCCTGGAAGGGTGTGGTGAGAAGCCAGAATAATTGTGTGTGTGGTTTGGGGGTGAGGGTGAGGTGGGGGGCTAGGTCTGAAAGTGCTAGCATTAAATCTAGCAGGTTGCTTAACACCCTCACCCCAATGGATAGCACAGAACTCAATGGTTTATTTTCTTTCCCCATTTCCCAACAACATAATCAGAGATACACTTTGGCTTGTATGGTTGTCACAGCCTGGGGTGTATGAACAGAGAGGTATATGCAGCAGGTGTGAGTATCTCACAACACCACAGGCTGTGAAGCTTGGTGAAAAACACAGTGACTTGGGGCACACAGAGGGACATGGAAACTGGAAGCTCAAGAGTGGCTATATCCCTAAGGCAGGCACCATTGACAGAGTATGGTGACAGCAGAAAAGGTAGGAAAGGACTCAGCATTCACACAAAAACATGAGTATGAAACAAAACAGCTCTTAGTAGGGAAACCACTCCCCCAGTATCTGATAGATTCAATACTGCAGACCCTGGAAAAAAACCATTTATTTGTATAATAGGTAATGTGAAATAGGAAGAAAAGGGGCAAAGGGGAAGGAAGTGGG